CCTCTAGCTACTCTGCAAGAGAAAGATGGACAATCTCCTCCCATGCAATTAACTTTGAAAACCTCTGGAGGGCCAATGATTAGTCAGATCCAAATTGATGGCATGCGACAACTGTTCATATGATTATGATGAAACAGTAACTGATAATTGCATGACTGCTTTCTAAATTAACTTTTCCATACAAATCTCTTATCCTAGAAAGAGTTTAGTGATTCCCCTCTCCCCCGAATTTAACTGATGGGAGAAGAAATAAATTTTATTCTAATCTGAATTATAGATCATGGAATCCATCTGTCATGTTGGGGTTTATTTTATAGGACTTAATTTAAGACATCTATGAAATAAAAGAATAAAGAGTAATTCTGTAAAGCCCTTCAAAAAGACTTGTCTTTTTAGAAAACAGAAAATATTCCTGCTGCAGTCTTTAAAAATTAGTCAACTTTTAGTTGGTGTCTTTCTCTGTAATACCTGAGCTAGGAAGCCTAATTTTAGGAAGAAGTCTCTGTAGTCGTTATTACTGTATACACAAGCAAATACTCAATTTATTTTCTGGAAAGCAGTTAATGCTCTTTGTTTTATAATTTAGTCACTTGGTTCTTCATGTTTATATTTTTAACCTCTTAACTTTCACAATTATACATATTTAGCTACTTTTTAAAAGCAGATTAACTTATTAAGGAGATCAATCATCCAAAGATAAAACTTTGAAGGCAAAAAGCGAGGAAATTCTCCTGAGAATTATGGCCTAGGTTGTACACACTTTCATGGAACTTTCATTTGGTTCTGAAATGACTAGTAAGATATCTCTTGCCTCTAATCTTGGAAGTAAGTAGAGATGCAAATTCAATTCAAGGTGTGCTTTATTTTTTTAAAAATAATAGCAATTTATGAAAAGATAAATCAGCTCACATCTTTGCCAAACTAATAAACACATTTAAACGGTGTTTATTGGCAGGATTTCCTATTCTGTATAATTGTCAAATCACACAGAAAGTAAAAATTTTCAGGGAAGAGTATATTTTGTGTGTCCTACCTTTTCGTGGACTTTCTGACCAGGTTCAATACCTTCAATATGTTCTGATTCTGTAGACCCTTCACTGGATGCCATTTTTCTCTGAATATGAACATTTTGCTCACGCAATGCAACAATCTGCAAAATAAAAAGCATCATTTTTTTTAGAATCTAAAACATAGTAATTTTTTTAAAAAAGGAAATTAAATTGAGTGTTTAAAAACTAATGAATATTTATGAGTTATCAAAAAAGGATCACTAATATTTTTTAAATTGCTTCATGGTAGCATTTTGCATATTTTTAGAGGACTCGTAAGATTTAGTCTAATGGCTATTATTTAATACTTTATTCTGAACTTGGCAAATTTGAGACAATATCTGAGCAGTTAATTAATTCTTACAAAGTTTCTGCTAAATTTTATAGATATGAGTAATCAACTAAAAATAGATTCAAAGACAATTATAAGATCTTAGTAATATATAGAGTTAAAGTTGCATTCCACTCTAACGTTTTAAAAAATATGCATTTTATTTTCACAAAGAAACTATTTTCAAAATAATTTTCATTCTATTAATCTTAACACATTGTCCATGGCAAATTATTTAATATTATCACCTCAGATGCTGAGCCAGAATTAGTGACTGGTAAGACTATTTCTCTGTTGTGCATAGGGTTTTCAGAGGCCTGCTATTTCAGAAGTGGGTGGCCAATCCTTCTTCCTAGTCTGTCTTGATCTGAATGTTCAGATTTAGAGGAGTATCTGACAGACAGCAATTTGTGGAGCAGTTAAAGATAAATCCCTTATTGTGGGGATAAGCATTAGTTAAA